TTAAGAATAAATAAATTAAAGTATCACATTAGAGTTGCTTGGTGACTCATCAACTTGATCCGTGCACTTCGTCTGATTAATCAACGATTAAGTGACTTTTGCTGCTTTCTGCGTGAATCACGCACATCTGTGTGTGACAGCTATTCTCTCTCTGTCATTTATTCATTACATTTGTCTTTGAAAAATATTTTTTTTTTTAAATTTAATTTTTAAAAGGAATTGAACCAGTCTATTTTGTGTTTTAATCGCGCTACTCGATCTCTTGCATCTACATGATAAATGGAAATAAGTTAACATTTACGATTCTTGTTTGTTAATTACATGACAAATTGTTAAACGAATTAAAAGTGGTATAAAAAGTATTGAGTTTCTTTATAATGTGTGTATTCAATCATTTATAAACCAATCATATTAAAGAATTTAACAACAAAATTGCGTTTTTTGCTGAACGTAACCATATAATATCACTGGCTAAACTTTTGTTATGGATATGCTTCTATTTCCACCCAACAGCCATCCATAAAAATACCTAAAAAATTAATAATTTTAAATTTGACAAATATTTTTGGATTTGTCGAAAATATAATGGAATCGACGTCGAATCGACATCAATTCGATGTCGATTTCATTATCATTTTTCACTGGGTATAACTCACAAAACAATTCAGTGTCTTTTTTTACTTTCATTATCTTACCAAATCAAAATAAATTGATGAAGCCTTTATATATTTTTTACAATACTTAGAGATCCTTCTTCTTATTTACAACAAGAAGCCACATTTATTCAAATTTCAAGGTTCAATTTTTGGACAGTTTTTCGGATTTCTATCCCACTCTATGAGTTTATATAAATATATATACCTTTAATAATAATAGGACTACCCACTATAATAATTATAATTTTATATGCAATTGTTTTTTACAATTGTAGAAGAAAAACATTTTTTACGAAACAAAAACACCGAGAAAAGGAACTTTTAGATCGGATATTATTATATTAGTATATTTACGACCGTCTAACTGTTCAATAATGCATTTGGCTCCTTCTGTCATATTTTGAGATGCAGCCAAAGTGTATATTCCCGAATGTTGTCGGATTGCAACGTATTAGTTTCCACGTCAGTGCATTTTTTTAATAATATTTTGATGGCAAAAGACGTTGGACTTGATCCAATATAAGTTGATGACTTTATCCTACTTTATCTGTTTTTATCGTTTATCAAGAAGTCGAGATGGAGAAATATATATTTGCACGTGATCGTTCAATTTTGTAATTAGTTGGAGTATTTTACTTTTGTGGACGTTCTTCGTAATATTCTCTGGAAATCTCGTAACAAATTTTTAAGAAATCGTTAATTTTTTCTAGTCACAAGAAAAATCACAAACAAACAAACGAACAATAAATAAATTAGAGTATTCCAGTGCTTACTCTGTACACATTTACCGACAATTGTCTGTGTCGTTAAGTAGCGACAGCCAATGGCAAGGACCGTTCTAGGAGAAAAGTTCAATTCTTATTGGCTGTCGCTACTTAACGACACCGACAACTGTCGATAGACGTATACAAAATATGGGACCAGAAATGATCTAATGTGTGTTAATAAACAGAAGTATAAAAAACACATACAGTGTGAGATACATGACATGAAATAATAAGGAATAACATACAGAATGAAATAGGAAGACAAAATAATATGAGAAGAATCGTTAATCTTTGATGATTAGAGAATCTCAAGAGAGAGATGAGTTATTTTACATTAATAATAATAGAAGCTTAATTTTAGGTTTAAGAAAATCTATAAAAATATTTAGAAAATTACTAGAAAAAATATTTAAAAGATTCTATTTTATATAAAAACATTAAAATATAATACAAAATATATAAATTTTTTAATAAATTGTTTTAAACACAATTCTACCGTCTACAATACAATGAATTTCTTTCGTCGATGCATCTGAAGAAGACTCAATAGTCGAAACATGTAATGCGTAAAACTGAGCTACGTATATACATATTGAATTCTTATTAATTATATATTTTTAAATTTATTAAATGTGAAAACTTTTTATTTAGAATTGTCGGTAACCCTCGAATTGCCCTCGATTTTACTTTTTTATTGTTTAAACACAATAATTGAGAAATAATACTTAGATATATCGTTTTACCCGATAAAACTAGCGTTTTTGACGTTTCCGTTCCTGTCTAATTTCTTCGTAATAGTTTCGCAGAATAACAATTTCTTCTCCACGATTTAAATATTCAGACTAATGTACCTGCCCCTGGTGTATTTTGTGTTCAAAGCTGGAAAAAGTATGAAATCATATAGATTTCTTTATTCATTTAACCTTAGTATGGTGACTAATGCTGAAGATAAAAATGGATAAGGAAATCTGTAATTTCATATTTTTTCCAGCTTTGGACACAATATAGACCAGGGACAGATACATTAGCATGAATATTTAAATCGTGGAAGAGGAATTTTTATTCTGCGAAACTATTGTGAAGAAATTAGACAGAAATGAAAACGTCAAATGCTAATTTTATCGATAATAGGTGGATCCAGCATCACCTTAGACTAACAAGAATCTCAAGACCTTATATATTGCGAGTACACAATCAATAGGAGATAAATGCTATTAACGGTCTAGCTGGATCTATTTGTATAATTTTGGAATACAGTTACGGAAAATTTTCACTAAGAATGCTTTTAGATTTCCAGTAGAAGTAAAAAAAATTTAATGGAATTCCAATGGAATAGTCGAACTAAATGAATGTTTAAATTAAGAATGCGATTATTTTTATTAAAATTAATTTTTTTTTACTAAACAAAATATGCTTCATTTAAAATTAAATTTGTTTCAATAAAACAAATGTAAATAGAAATCTCGAGTTCAAACAAATCTTTTTCTTTGTATAAAATACTAGTGAAAAATTGTTAAAAGTTTTACGAGAACAAGTGCGAGTCGTACGATTCTGCTTAGAATTGACTCAATAGCTTGAACGATCTTAATTCATTCTGCGTTATTTCGCAGAGATGAAGCGATTCCAAAAACATTTCTGCTTCTCACGTAGTGAGAAATGATTTTGTCTCGTGACGCAACTGTTCCATGCTGTTTCGCACTGTTTCTAACGCCGGATTAAGTTCTGACGTGTGACGAACGAATTCAGCTGTTAATGAAAATTTTCGCAACGATAGACACGCGTATATGTAATCCAGGCGATTGCGAGCTCTCGTAATTGCGCCAGTCTACGTCAATGTCGTCAATGCAAGTGCACATATGGATAAACAACCGAGTTATTATGCTGAGTCTCGCGATATTGGTACAATTGAAGTTCCGGCGGTATCGTCAAGGCGCAAGTGTCCCCCACATGTTGTTATTTGCGTCTTCCTCTGTTCTAACTCGATCCTTTGTCGTATATCGAAATGTGTACGTAGTAGATCTGTCATTAAAGCGCGACTAGAGTTTGACGTAGCGGTATCTATTACACAAAGCGGACCACACATGACTGGATCACCTCGATTATTCTCTGTAGAGACTTTCAATTTTGTTCCGAGTTCTCTTGATTCCGATAGAGCGAAGAATAAATTTAACAATTTTAATTTAATTCGTTAGTAGTTTACTTGTAGTAGTTTATATGTGAGCGATAAAAAGATCCAAGCTAGACTGTTACAGGCTTTGTAAGCCAACTTTTTCTCGATATAATCAGAGTTTAGCTACAAAAAGGGACCGACATTTTTCAAAATCGTGTGAATAGCAAAAGATATATTCTAGCTTGCTCTGCAGTAGTGTAAAAGAAAAAAAGATATTTGCTCTCTCTTTGACGACTAACGCGATTTAACAAGAAATCATTAGATTTAACAACAATAAGTTGTTATCTCGTAGCCAGATTCTGATTAGAGGATCCCTATATCAAACAACTTTGTTATCTAACTTCTTTTTTACAAACAAATTTTCTGTAAAATGCAGAAAGCAAATAATGAGCAATACTGTAGACATAAAAAATATCTAAATTAGCAGCACATTCATTTACAATAAACAGCGCATTACATCATACAGTAAAAATACAGTAAAAATAAACAAATATTTGATATATTTAAATTCTATATCACATTGATTGACTATTGGATTCTTTGATAAGAAATTGATTTGAAACAAAAATTAATAAATATTGGAGGAAACGTTGTAATGTTTAGAAAGATTTAATGTACGATATTTAAAAAAAAGATTAGATAGCTTAAACGTCTCGGAATTAGTGCAAATACAAGCAATTAAAGAAAAGTGTCTTGTAAAAGTAAGTTGGGTACCCCTGTGATCTATTTTCACATTGCTTTCGTTCGATAACGATCATGCTATGACCGCAAATTACCGTCGTCTAACCTCTACTGTAACCTAGATCTGATCGAAGTACTAATCAACGCCGAAAACGATCCTGAACTTCGACTCCTAATAATATCTATCTAATTAACAAATTTCGATACCAACTTATTATTATTACGTACTTTAATAAATACATAATAAATTAGTAATACAGAGGAAAGTAAGATTTAATGTTATTTAATAAATAAGCAGCATTAATTATCATAGTTAATTTCATGAATAATTGATTTCATAAATAAATGATAGGAAGTTACCCTCTCAATCTCGTAGAGTGAAATCTTATTCGAAGTGTCGGTTGTTATTAACAGATGAGGAAGGGGAGGAAGGAGGCTAACTGACGCAACTCTCTACAAAAGAAAATATTTTTTCAACTAAATAAAGTGAACGCACAAATTTTTGTTGCAAATTTAGAGAACGCAAAAATAACGCATTATTATATAATTTTTCATTAAATTTTGGTTAAATGGAGGGAAGGGTTAGGTAGAGAGACGTATTAATTATTCGTTGATCAGAAAAAAATATGGCACATAAAATATATGAAATAAATAAAGCTAAATGATGTTAGTAAGATTAGAATAAAAAAAAAATAATTTTGTTGCGCATGCAAATGGGAGACTCACCGAGATGCGACAACGAGTATGGATCTGAAACAACAAAAAACAAATGGACAGGATTAAACGTTATGCTGATTTTAATAGTTACGTGATCTGCAGATGCTCAATTAACAAATATCTCTATCAATAAATAATTATGATAATAAACAAAGTGGCGCACGATTCGTACTCCAAACGCAAACAAGAGACGACAGACCTGTAATTAAAAAAAATTTTTTTATAAATACATAAATATAGACTATTAATTTCGCACAGTAATTCAATATAACAAACATTCTCAATTTCGCACAAACACAATATAACAAGCTTTCCCAATCAACATTAAAACTTGAAAATGTATTTTTCAAAATCGATTTTCCATTAATAAAATTGGTAGGATTTAAGTATAATTCTTTTAATTATAAAGGAAGATACTGATTTGTTTGGACTATTTTAAATAACAAATTTATTTGGACACAATAAAATTTATTAAATTCAAAGAAATTTTTTTCTCTGTGTGCGTATTTTCTTTATATATGCGGTATGCGTTAATTTAATAAGCGTGATAAACACTGATTTAATAATAAATATCAGATCACGGGGAATAACTCTTTTGAAAACTGCTCGCTCAATCGATACGGTATTTCGTTGACACGATTGTCTTGTCTTCCTCTTTTTCCTCTTCAACTTTATTTTTTTTTTATTGAGGATTATTATAAAACGTGTGATACGCATTCAAGGTCCACCAAATGAATCTATCGATGTACATTAAGATAAAATAGCGGGGAAACCTATTTATAGATTATAGACGGCCACTCCGTCTTTCTTGAGAAGGCTAGTAAAAAGAATCGAGTGATCGATAGACTTTCACTCAGCGACGTCAAATTACAAATGTTTTATGTTCACCCGACCAGTATAATCATTCGTGTTTATTAAAAGAAAAAGGGAATTGTGTATGTGTGCAACCGTAAAAGTACTTTTCTGCCCAAATAGTTATATTTGCAATTTTTTACTTTAAAATCTTACATTTTTAAAGTAAAAAAAATTTTTATATTAATCTAAAATTTTTTTAAATACAAGCAAAGAATTTTTTTGAAATTAAGATATTTTTTTCTCAGTGAACGAATTAATTCGAAGAGACAGGAAGATTTGAAATTGAGTGTAAGGAAATGGAACTCATTATCAACAAGAGTAAGATCAAGCTCATGAGTTTGTGAACATCTGAAGGAACCGGAAGATCTCGAGGAGAATAACAATTTTGGTCTTTTTCAGCTGACAGAAATCGCCGATGATGGAGACAATTTGTACTTTTCAAGTGATTACATCAAATGGAGGTCACTATCTTTAGTTATGAATTAGAATTGACTTGTATGAGAGAGAAAGAGCCATTTAATAAAAAGTGATTGTTTTTCAAGCACGAGAATAAGAATAATTGTTTCCTATCTTTTTTCCATCCAAATTAACTTTTTGTTCAAAAAAATTAAAATTCTTCAAAATTTTCAGAGAAAACAAATAAAAAAATAACAAAGTTAACTATCTTTCAATCTTGAATTAAAGCTTTCTTGTCTGGAGATACTCGATGTAACAGTTTTCCTCAGGAAAATCAATCGAATTGGTTTAGGTGAGGATAAGGAAGGGAAACGAGAAGAAGAGGAGGTTCGTGCGTCACAGCACGCGTGCGTCGCTCTAAAAGCCACGGGTTACCACCCTAAATGTTGTAACTATTTTCAAGCCGTGGCCTGGCAGACCGCGGCGTTTATATCCGAATGCACGAGGACGAAAGCGGCATTATTTTAGGCTGCTTGTGATTCAATTTAATCGTGAGTTTCTCGTCGATCCGAAGAAAATCTCGAAGTCAAAAGAGATACCCTATACGCCCGAAAGCTATATTGACGAAACTTGACCTCTTCCCACACAAACAGCAAAATCCTTTTTCCATTCTTTTCATCTTAAATAAGGAAACTGTCAGAAGTTACTTACATTCGCACAAATTTATATAAATTACTACAGGAAAGATATTTGAAAAGCGCTGAAAATTCAATATGCATATGAAAAAATATTTATTAAAAATATAATATGTGATTAGATTAACTAAAATACTAGGTTGGGGTCAAATATTGGGTTGGAGAAAGTCTTTTTAATGTAGAAAGACCTTTGTTTTAAAATATCATCGTTAAAAATAAACAAAATTAAAATTGTAAAAAAGAGTTTTAAAGTTAAAAATTTCTACTTTTGAAAGGTTATATTTTCTGAGTTTTTGAGAGTACGGTAATTTTTAAACCGAATAAGACAATGCCATAGCGGTCTAAGCTATGACATCATGGGTGCTTCTAAATAATTACATGTGAATTTATATAAATAAAAGTATATAAATTCACACGTTTTATTATTATGTTTGATTTTGTGTTCCTGAGTTATTCGCGAGTTAAGTAAAGGACATTTTGATTTTAATTGCTCATAACTGTCTTAAAAATCATCTAAAAATTCGATACGCGTGAAGAAGATATATCTTATCTTTTAAAAATATCACTCTTACATATAAGCATAGAATGTGTGAGTGCATTTAACACACACACACACACACACACACACATATATATATATATATATATATATGAATATATATATATGTATATATTTATATATAAACATTTTAATAACATATTCTCTTTCTCTCTCTCTCTCTCTTTTATATTAAAAATATAGACCACAACAATAAGAAAAACTCATACACATCAATCTTTATAATTGACTTGGAACGCCATCATATTACTGCGCATTTTTCTGTATTGTCAGTTAATAATATTATTTTGATCGGATATCTTTTGCTGATTAAACGTGTATTTACTCGAAATCGTAACATCGTAGAAAACCAGGAAATGAAGAGTAAACTAACGTCAAGAGTTCATAATTAGACGTAAATAAGTTTATTATGACACGCGTTTTTTCTTATCAAACAACATCGATTGTTGACATTGTTGTAAACGAATCAACGTCAGTTACGCAATAAACAAAGTTATTATAATTAATTCTGATTAATTTTTTTGATATGTTCAACTTATTTAAATGTTATTGTTTGTTAAAATCACAAGAAATGATTAATATAATTTTATAACATCAATCATAATCCAATTGTGATTAATGTTATAAAATACATTACAAAACAAAATGTAAATTGGAATTGGTTTAGAAATGTAAAATTATAAAGTATCAATAATATAATTAATAATAGTGAATACGTAATGAGTTGTGTTATAATTTTTCGATAATACACGATAGTGTTAATAACCATTGTACATATAATGAGACATTATTTAATCAAGAACACTTAAAAAAATATTTAATTTTAAGATATTAAAATGTTCTATTATCCTTGTCTTTATTTCTTAAATACCTATAGATGTTTTGATTTTAAATTTTTTCAATTAACTTTTTCAATGTATTTTCTAAACAAATAAGTTTAAAACTAAAATAAAACTCTTTAAGCGAGTCTTTTAATATTTACAAGATAAAAGCTTCTTTTTTGAGTGAAACAAAAGATTTAATTATTACGAACACAATAGTAACAAAAATTTGTTTCATCGTAATTGTTTGTAATAATAAAATGACATCATATGAAAACAACAATACAAGGATGATATTATCAGATTATATTAAACAAAAATCTTAGAGAGATAACATTAATAAGTCTACAAGGATCATAGACAGATAAAAGCGTCAACATTCCCAAGAAACGCGATGATTTCATGACGTCATTAATTTCTATGTATAATATTATCTTCATCGTGCCTATCGCAGCGTTACATTACATAAATAAAATAAGTTTTTCATACAATTATTATTGCCGATTTAACCAATCTTATAAATAATACATATATACTCGATCTTGTATAAAATAAATGTTTGTTAGATAATTGTAAATTATCTTTCTTTTCATAAAATAATATTTTTTTAAAATTTATTTAACTTGCTCTACACCTTCAACTGACAATAATTATTACACGCCAATAAATGTAACGTTAAACGCATGTAATCGCTACGTATGCAACGACGATGCACCGCGTGCGTTGCCTACCTGGCTGTTTTTTAGTAGCTTAGATGAGTCTTCAGAAAAGTACATCTCTTCGATTGTTCTGAAATGCGATATGGACAATGTATCGCGAAGATTAAAGTACAAATTTTCAGATCGTATAGTGAAAATTAAAAGTTAAGAACAAGAATTTCCGGAGTAAATATATAAACGAGAATTAGATCCCATTAATGTGTATCTAAATAATATGAAGTATTAGTATTTTTTGTAATTTTAACTTATTTTCCGTTTAAAAACATTTAATTAAAGTTTCAATTATCACAATATTTAATGTAAAAAATTAAAAACATGTAAGAAATTTTTATTATCTGAAAGAGTTTATATTTTTTATATAAAATTACGTTAATTTGATATATCTCTTATTTGCTATCCTTGAGATTAAAGTGTTTTATACCTCAGCACGTGTACATTTATCGTAACAATTTACATATTTATATTATGCTGTATGATTAACAAAATTGGTGAGCTCGCGGTTTCTCAACCGCATGCGCCGATGACGATCGAGTTGCAAAAGCGTTGCAGGAATTATTCGCGAAACCTTTAATGCGCTGCCATCGATAACTTCTACCTAGCCTACCGTTTAATTATGGAGAACGAAACGCTCGTTTCAATGATCACGCTGTTACGTCAGTGGAAAACATGATTTTGCTTCGTCTATTCTTCGTCGGCAGTCTTTAGGATCTCTAACTCGACAAGGGAGTATAGGATGGATTTCGATCGTATTCGTATTTTTAACTTTTATGTTATTTCTTCAAAAAGGATAATTGTATTCAGTGACGTGCAAAAAAATAAAATAAAAAGAGAATTTTAGTTTCAATAATAAGAAAGCAGAAAGGAATGAGAACACTCGTGTGTGTTTTTTCCTTAGCAATAAAAAAAATGATAATTATTATTTATTTGCTACTAATAGAGACGTAATAAAAGCACTTATGGTCTTTAAAATTATAACATAATTATCTTT